AATGGTGGAAACTGTTAGAGTGATTACAGGTCAGGTTTTAGGCCATGGTTAGCTTGCATATGTTGTAGGGAAGGTAGAGGAACAGGTCTTGATCAAAATGCTCGAAGGGATTGGGAGTTTGCACTCAAACTGCAGGGGCACCCCTGTTTGTGCAGTTTGAGGATGATTCTGAGATGGAGGGTGTATTGGAGGTCAAAAGCTCGTGTGTTAGCTTGGATATGTTATGTGTAATGTGTTTGACAACTTTGTTCTTGTGTTTCTAAGCTGAAGAGAGAGTTGGCATGAGTTATGGATGTTTCTTCTATGTGAAGCAAAGAAAATGCAAGTTGATGTTCTAGGCATGTAGGGGACCTCCTAATGGGCTGCATAATCTTCTCTTGATCAGAGCAATTTGTCCATAATCTTGTGCCATTCAGATTTAGCTTGTACTTGTTTGATTTTCAAATTGACATAAAGTGAACTTTTGCAAAAATGGATAGTTTACTTTATCTAATTTAGGATTAAACCATTAGACAAAGCTTGAACTCAAAGAACTTGGTCTTAGTACAAAGAATATGCATTAAATTATTGAGTATGGATTGGTTCAAGGACCTGTAATTAAGCATAAAGCAAACTGAATTCAAATTTGCAAGTTTGTGAACATGTCTTGATGAAGAACAAAAGTGAATTTTTGCCAACTTGTGAAATTCGAATATCTCAAGTTATGAGGTTGTTTGATGAGTTCTTGGATATTTTGGAAAGCTTGGAATGTGTACTGAAATCCATCTTTGAAATGAAAATCAAAATTCCAAGTGGAAAGGTATGAAAAGTGGCCTTGAAGTAGGGTAGAAAACCTTGTCAAAATAGGTCAAATTTCACTAAGTTAAAAGATGGTTTAGTGCCCTTATTCAAAAAATCATAACTTGAGATACAAGCTTCAAATGAGAAAACTTTGTGAATCAAAGTTGTAGACTATGCAACAAGCTACAACTTTCATGTTTTGACTTTTGTTTGAATCCAAATGGATCATGGTGAAAAGATGGGGCAAAGTTGGGAAAAAATTAGGGTTTTCCATAACTTGGAAAAATTCTAAGTTATGAAGAATTCCATTTTCAAACCCTAATTTGCATTTTGTGATTTCTTGGTGAACAAGTTTCATGATTTGTAATGTTTTGATGAAAAATGAATCTTGACTCTTGATTTTGACCAAAAAGTCAAAGTTTGACTTTTCAGTATACAGTCAAAATTGATCAATTGACTGGGAAATTCAACTATCAATCTTGTGTACTTGGGATCTTTTGAGCTTGATGAACATGTCAAGATAATTCCATGGGGTCCTTGAGTCCATATGTGAGCTTGGTTTGCCATTGGCTAGGTCAAACAGTCAAAAATTGCCTTTGTGCAGTCAAAACCCTAGAAATGACCATTTTGCCCTTTTGATGATCTGATCAAATTTCTTGTGGAATTGTGATCCAAACTTGATCAAATGGTCCATGTGAGTTCATAATGTTGATGTGGATCAAATTTCATGAGGTTTGACTGTCAATTGGCCATAGTTGACTTTTTCCCCAATACAGCTGATTTCTAGGTCAACTGTCAATTGACTGGGTAAAACTTGGAATCAAGACTTGAAACTTGGTATAGGTAAACTTGGGAGTCCAACATGAAGCATGAAAGTCATCTTAGGCATTTTAGGTCAAAACATCTTTGTGCAAACACAAACCCTAATTTGAGTCCACAGTGCAAGGAGAAGTCTTGAGCAGAGGAAATCCTAATTGGATCTTGATCTTCAAAGGTCTTGTGATGAGAAAATGTTTGAGGAAATGGGAGGGCAAATTTTGGGGTACAACAATTTCTAATCACTTTTTTTATTCAATTAATTTTAATTTAAACATTTCTTCTAAAATAAACAAAAACAACAAAAAAATTCTTAATGTCCTTAGAACTTTTAAGGGTTTTTAGACGCTCTTTTCTTTTTTTAATCCTTGCGCATTTGTTATTTTTCATATCATTATTGTATCTGCCCCCCGGTTTATAATAGTTAATAACTAGGATTTTATTTACTGTCTTTATCCCCAATCTTGGACTTGTAATTTTCCCCTCCCTGAAGCCATGTAATAGTTAGGTTTAATTTTCACACTTTAATTTCCCGCGTTGATATTGAACTGTTAGATGTATTCCTATTAGGATTGCATGACAAGAATTAAAACAAAACATTAGTAAACCTAAAACCAAAGATAAATAATTGAAACACAACGCACTCGCACGTGCGCACATCTAAGGTACTCCCACTTTGGTTGCCTTCGGAATAGAACATCATAGCTCTCGAATGTGAGGGATTTTAGTGACTACCCTCTGGTTTAAAGATCACAAAAATGACCCTCTCGATGTTGCCTCTGTATGATCTTAAGACTTTAGGTTGGTTACTAAGGTATCTCACCAAGTTGCCTTTGTGACTGTACGATGACATTCGATTGTCCCTCAAACATATAATGATAGGACTACCTACTCCCTAATAGTAGGATAGCACTGTCTAAAGAAAAAGAGGAAAAGAACAAACCTTTTCGACTAGGTAGATAGTTTTTAGATACTTGCTCAAATAAAACAATTTTCCACACATACACTCTTTTTCTAAAAAATATTTTCCAAGACACATTGTATACGTTCTCCACGACACGAGAAACATTACAAAGTTCACCGCACTAAGGCATCTTTTCAAAATACTTTTTTCAAACACACAAACACAAGGCACTTTAAAATGAGCTAACAACTAAGAGCTCGTAGATAACTACAAATGGAAAGAGTGCTAACATATTCCCTTTCCATAATCTACCCCCCTTACTCATAAATAATCTCGAAAGGTCTTTTTCTGTTCTTTTCACCCTTTCCTTTGTTGGATAAAAGAAATGTCAGTGGCGACTCTTGCTTACCGCAACCTTTGCGAATAAAAATGCAAAACCAGTCAAAGTCATCTCTCCCACCGTATTACACAATAGCTTCCTAGGAGTTCAATGAAGCTATCCAGATCATCACAACACCTCCAGGAGTGCTCAAACTCCAAACACGATTTCCAGTTTTGAGGTAAGTTTTCTCAACTTTGAACTTCTTATACAAGCATCATCATTGGTTACTTTGTGAATAAAAAATATAGACATCATTGTCCTGAAGCTAATCATACCTTTAGTTTTCATTTATGTTAACTATACGTGGATAATTTTGGAAATGAAGTTTCTGAAAAATTTAGGTTTTAATTTGGTACCAAAAAAATTCTCATTCATCTTTGATTTATATCTTTTGAAATTTATATGGTTGGATTCGTGGTGAAATTTCAAGCAAGGTTCATGTTTACATTTTCTGATTTGGTTGAGAAATGAGAAAGTTCCAAAAAACCAAAAATGGTGTTATTGTTATTGTTAGCGCGCGAAGGAGGAAGAAGATGAAGTTCAAAATTCAGAAATGAGTTTATTTTATATTTAATTGAAGTTGTATTATAAACGGATGAAACAGCCACCCCAGTGGCAGAGAAGCGCGCGTTAAGTCAGTTGCCCATAGAGACCTGGGTTCGAACCCCAGTGGTACCCTTTTGCTTTTTTTCATTTTATTTCCTTGCAGATTCAGTGCATACAAGTCACGCGCGCCTACCATGAGTTTCAAATTAATGCCATTAGATCTGCCAGCCATCAAATCCAACACTCCACATAAGCAAGACCGTGATGCACTCTCATAAGCAAGTCACATGGAACCACAAACAGCGTTGGGCTCCCTGACTTAGGCCTCTTTTCTTTTTTGTTTTTACTTTTTAACACCCCCATTTTACTTGTTATACTCAGGCCCATCTTTTATTTTATTTTCTAATTCAACAAAAAAAACCCGTTTGGGCCTAACCAAAATAATTTCTCACTCCCATTTTTATTTTTAGCACTTGGGCCAAACTTCTTTCCATATTCTTTATATTCTCATTATTTTTTATTTATTTAACCAAAATAAAAAATATATATTTTTAAATTCATTAAATAATGGATCTATCTGATCTATATTAATAATTTATTCTTTTTTAATTCAATTATTGTAAATTATTAAATTATATTTTCGAGTTTTCAATTATATGTAACAAAAAGGCTAAATTATTATTTTGCTCACTCAATTTTAACTAATTTACAAAATTAATTTCTCTATTTTAAATTAAAATAATTTTTGTCTCCTTCTCACATTTTTTTCATAAAAAAGTGATGAGATAATTTTGTTTTAACTTATATGTTTTCTATAAATATATTTATATATGATGTTTATCATGTTTCACAAGTATTTTGTAATTTAAAATAGAAATATTATTAATTTTAAGTGAAAAAATATGAATACGGAATTAAAATTATTTAAATTTAAAATAAAGAGATTAATTTATAAATTAGATAAAATAAAAGGATCAAAATTATAATTAAATCTAACAAATTAGAGTTTAATAAATATACTGTCAAGATAAATTATAGTTTAAATAATATATTCTAGAATCTTAGGCATGTAGGTGTAATCAAAACTATAAAAGTAATAATAGTTATTATTATTTAATTATAAAGTTATAATATTATTTTATTAATATAAAATAGTTGTAAAATTATTCTTTTTAGTCAATTAAAAATATTTCAATTTATATCAATAATAACTTATATAGAGGTTTGAATTAATTATATATATATTATATATATATATATATATATATATATATATATATATATATATATATATATATATATATATATATATATATATATATATATATATATATATATATATATATATATATATATATATATATATATATATATATATATATATATATATATATATATATATATATATATATATATATATATATATATATATATATATATATATATATATATATATATATATATATATATATATATATATATATATATCATATAATTTGGTCATTCATGTGTATATATACATGTATTGTTTAGGTTTGATTTAACCATTTTATTCTTTGAAAAATATAAACAATGGTGAAACATAATGTTATTTTATTTTCCTTTGTCTCTATGGTGTTTTCATCCATAACTCTTTTTATGTGTTGCGCTAATGAAAATGATGATGAGGCTCACTTCCTAGTGGAGATGCATATTCTGCAACCTCTCATCATCTCAACACGTGGAACAAGTCATCGGTGATAGTGAAATTGAAAATCGATTGGTTCAAAGTTATAAGAGAAGTTTCAATGGTTTTGCTGCCATATTCAATGACCAACAAAAGGAAAAACTTCTCGATATGAAAGGTGTGGCCTCAGTTTTTCCAAACCAAAATTTTCATATACAAGCTACAAGATCGTGGAATTTTCTTGGATTTCCCCAATCAATTAAAAGGGATCAAATTATGGAGAGTGATTTGATAATTGGAGTAATAGATAGTGAAATATGGCTAGAGTATGAAAGTTTCAACTATAAAAATATATATTTTATTAGTCAAATTATAATATCTTGTTATAATTATCTAACTTTATTTTTAAAACTCTCATATATATACAAAATATTGACCACGCTTAAAAATGATACAAATTTCATTACATAGAATAATTTGTAATTTGTGATTTACTATATTTAATTAATACTTTATACATACTTTAACTTATATCTAAGTGTTAGTAGTATGATTGGAGTGAAAATTAAGCTTTTAACTACTTTATAACTAAGCTAATTTACATCCTCATGTTTGTAAATGGTAAATGGTGTTAGTCATTTCTATCTTAGAATAATGAGAAAAATTATAGTTTATATTGTAGAAAGAAAACACAACATGATTAGAAGTTTTACAATATCTATAAATTTAATGAATTAATTTGTTAGATTGGTTGAATTTTTACAATTGATCAAGTATTGGTTCCATTCCAAAAAAATGGAAGGGAGTTTGTAAAGGAGGTGTTAACTTCACTTGCAATAAGAAAATTATTGGAGCACGATCTTATGGTAATGCAGAGGAGAATGCAAGAGACGAGACTGGTCACAGAACCCATACAACATCAATTGCAGGTGGAAGAGAGGTGCAAGATGTGAGCTTTTACGATCTTACAAAAGGCACTGCAAGGGGTGGAGTCCCATCTTCAAGGATTGCTGTGTACAAATTATGTGGCGCAGATGGTACATGCAGTGGTAGTAATACCTTAGCCGCATTTGATGATGCCATTGCTGATGGAGTTGACATTATCACAATATCAATTGGGGGCTCAAATGCCCTTGAATTTCTTAAATATCCTATTGCCATTGGTTCTTTTCATGCCATGGAGAAGGGAATTCTCACATCCCATTCGACAGAAAACTCTGGTCCTAGACCACGTTCTATTGCAAGTGTAACACCTTGGTTATTTAGTGTTGCTACATCTACTATAGATCTTCAATTCATTGATAAGCTCATTCTTGGAAATGAAAATACTATCATTGGCAAGTCAGTCAATACGTTCCCCTCAAATGGCACAAAAATTCCAATAGCTCACGATACTTGCTTTTATAACTTTGGCCAAAAAATGGTTAAAGGTAAGATTGTTTTGTGTGATGCACGAGGGTATGAACCACCAGTTTTTAAAAGTGGTGCATTCGATATAGTCTCTAATGTTGAAGAGTCTATAAGTGACGTGTCTTTTGTCTCTTAGATGCCTTCTATTAACTTGGATTCAAAAGATTATCTTATTGCTCAATCTTACATAAAATACACTAAATTCCCCGTGGCTGAAATTTTGAAGAGTGAGATCTTCCATGATACAACTGCTCCTAGAATTGCATCTTTCTCTTCTCGTGGCCCGAATTCAATTGTTCTAGATATTATGAAACCAGATATAAGTGCCCCTGGAGTGGATATTTTAGCTGCTTTTTCACCTCTAGCCCCACCCTCTGGACATGTCACTGACACGAGAAAAGCCAGTTACAACATATTATCAGGAACTTCTATGGCATGCCCTCATATTACTGGAATTATTGCATATGTGAAATCATTTCATCCAAATTGGTCACCAACAACTATTAAATCTGCCATCATGACCACGACAAAACCAGTGAATGATACTTATAATGATTTGGCTGGTGAATTTTCTTATGGATCAGGGAATGCCAATCCACAACTAGCTGTTAACCCATGACTTATTTATAACATTACAAAGGATGATTATGTGAAAATGCTTTGCAATTATGGTTACGATAATGAAAAAATTAAACTGATTAGTGGAGAAAACTCAAGTTGTCACACAACTTCTAACCTTTCACCGGTAAAAAATCTAAACTATCCTGCACTAGTGATTGTTGTTGCACCTGAGAAACCTTTCAATATCAAGTTTCCTAGAACAGTTACAAATGTTGGCTCTCACAATGCAACCTACAAGGCTATTGTCACCCCAATTTCAAATATTAAGATTATAGTAGAGCCAAATCATCTCTCATTCAAATCAATACAAGAGACACAATCATTTGTTGTCAATGTTATTGGGAGAGTAGAGTCAAATCAAATTGTGTTTTCTTCTTTACTTGTTTGGTCAGATGGCACCCACAATGTCAAGAGTTCAATAATCGTACAAATAACATCCTAAACTATGTTATTGTTATGGAAAATAAATTCGTGAAACTTTTATAGAATAAATAAGTGATTTTCGAGTATCCAATAAATTATAATTATATATAATTATATATTTTAACATTTTCATATTAATGTTGAATTCTTAAATTTCCAAAATTCAATGTGCATAATTAAAAAAAAAAACGTTGAAAAATAGTTTTACTTGTAAAAGAAATCATGGTAGATGGCTAATTAAACCATATAACCACTTAAGGACCATTCCAATATTTGAGTTTGTTGTCCTCTTGAAAAATATAAATCCATATGGCAACAAATAGTCCTATAAGACTACTGTGTATTTGGAACTGTGTACAAAAAATCTACAAAGAAAAAATTGGAAAATAAAAATCTCCTATTGTTTTAGTTGGAATGTCCCACGCTAGGGGTTTTCGGAGTGGATTCATAAAACTATGTCTTTAAATAACCAAATTTTTTAATAAAATATCTAATATTTCAATTTATTTTTTAAATAAAAATAATAGGACAAGTCAACTGTATTGACACTTACTCTTTAATTTTAAGAGAAAGAGCTTTTCAATATATTTTTCTACCAACTGTTTGTAAAATATTTTTTTCAAAAAAAACATCAAATTTACAAGAAAATTCACAGAAAATATAAAAAATTAAAAATATATAAAAACGCCAATTCAAATAGCTCAGCCTCTTAAACTTAAAGAGTAAACATCAATTAATTTAATTGGTTTATTTCATTTTTTTTTTGTTTGAAATATAAATATCTTAAAAAATAAATTAAAATATTGGGTATTTTAGAATTTTGTTGGAAAATTTGATTATTTAAAAAAATCACAGATTTGCCTATTTTTTTGTATTTTTACACGTTGTTACTCATTTTTTTATTAATTAATTATGATGTTTTTTTTTACGTAAGATAGACATGATGCTAATAAATGCACTCTTTTTCTTCACATATATGAAAATTTAATGGAAAAAATGCATTCAATTAATGATATAAATTGACCTTTGACTCATTTACAATCTGATCTTGTTTCTCTGGTTCACCACACTCCATAAACAAGATCCTTAATAAGAAATTATTCCTTAGGTTAGATAATTTGTGAGGCGTCTTATTACATATGATCTTATAACCTTATAATCGCTTCGAAAAATCTTCATTGAAAAACCTACATGATCAACATACTACCATGACCAAAGAGTCCATCACAACACTTCCTTACAAACAAGTGTCTCTATTATACATTTCATATTATAGTAAAATTAGATTATTATTCTAATCTACCAAGTTATTTCCATGCCAAAAGCCCTTTATTATAATTAAAGTGTACTCTAGCTTATTTTTCTACCAAAAGGCACTCTTTAGCCTTTTTATCATTAATCAACATATTTTTTACTTAAAAATTGGATAAAGTGATGATATTATTTTTTGGACAAGAACATGATTTTGGTAATGACACTTACACAAGAATCTTACCACCTTTCTCCCTTGTTGTTGAAGCATCCTCACAATCAAAGCCGTGAAAAACGTCCATCGTAGCCGTTACAATCACGCAACCACCTCTCTTGCCTTCCCTCACTCCATGAACTTAACTTTCCAATTTTACCCCTACCGACTAATAAACGAACTTTCTTACATCGCTATAAATACCATAAGCGAACCTAACCATACTTTCCATAGCAACAATTTTCAGATTCACTTTTTTTTCTCTCTCTTTCGCACACAGGTAACGAACGCTTCTCAAATTTTTCTTCCATTTTCGCGCTTTCTCTTTCAATTTCGCTTAGATCTCACCGAATTTATCTTCGATCCGTGCTTTCGTTTCATTTTTCTGTATTCCGCACGCATTGTTCGATTTTTCATTTTGAAATTCTCGTGTTTGATTTTACCGCGTTCAAAGAATAAGAAATTTAGATGAATTTTGACATTGATTAGGAATTGGATTCGTGATCTTGCCCTCTGCTTTGTGATTTTGTTTTATTTTTCATTTTTGTGGTATCTGATTGATGAAATTATGGTGTTCTTCTAGTTTTGATTTTAGTTTTGGTATTTTGTTGAGATTGTTATGGTATTAGTGTTTGTGATATTGTTCTGGCTTTAGATCTGAAGTTTTGGTTCATGATTTGGTTAATGGTATTGATTTGAGTGAGATTCGGTAAAATTAGTGTCTGCATGATCTGTTGAGAGATGAATGTCATTTGTGAATCAGCTGTATTTGATGAAAGCAAGTGTAGATATAAGCAATTGTATGTAGATTTTAATATTGATATGTAGGTGCATGTATAAAATCGAATTCATTTCCCTCGTGAAGTGTGTGGTTCGGCATTGGCGAAATGATTGTTTTATGATATGCCATTTTATCCTATCCAGATTTCAGTTAGTGGTGTGATGGAATAGATATGCATATAAACATACTTGATTCTTCGCTGTAAATAAATCTCTGTTGGACTCGTCATAATACTTGTAAAGATTTTTCTACTTGCAGATAAAGACAGTTTAGTTGATACTACTCATGGGGACAGTTCTTGAAGCTGCAAACAAGGTATTCATTGTTGTGCTGCATATGGACTTGCTTTTGCTCTAGCTTTTTTGCATTTTGAGAGCTTTTTTTGAAAATTTGATTTGACTACTTATTTCTATTGCTTTTTATACAGCTGTACATAATTTGGAGGTTTGAAATTTTAATATATCTTTTCCTTCATAGGATGTGCTGTACAATAGAGTGTAGGATATGCTGGAGTCATGTCCAACAAAATATTTACTTAAAAAAATATAAATTATATGGTTTGGATTCCTTTTAGTGAGATCGTATGAATTGTAATGCAGTATTGATTTCAACTATTTTTTCAATCGACTGTTTAATTGTAGAATTTTAGTCGTGTCATTTTTAATGCAGTAGTATCAATTTCAACTTTTTTTCAAACCTTTATTTGACTGTAGGATACAAATGGTATCAATTCTGATGCAGTGTTAATGTCAACTGATTTTAAATCTTTCATTTGTTTGTAGGATACAAATGGAAGCATCCTAAATAAAAACCCCACAGTTGTGTTTGTGCTAGGTAAGCAATGGTAATTGCATTCAAGTCAACGAATTTCCTTAGTCATCTTCCCTCTGAATAATCTTTTGTAAAATCCTATGCACTTAACTATTTCTGTTGAACATACATACTTTCTTCATAGCACCAATTTATTTATAACAAGCAATTTGGCATCTAAAACGTGAATTATAGTTAATTGTTTTGAGTTTTGCTATAGATAAATGGTTACCTTGTAGACAAGATATTTGACCGATGAATATGGAAGTACATAATATTTTTTATCATTTAAACACATTTTTTACTTCCTAAACTTTCACTACGGAAAAGAAAGTAGAGCACTGCTGAACCTTTTTAATTCTACATTTATGTTCTAACAACTCCTTCTATTAGAGTAAAGTATTACCTTGGAGTCATGGTATTTTCACGATGGTTCTAAAACCAAATTAAGCACTTATATTTAATAATAAATTATGTTTAAATTATTTTTGGATTGAAGATAGAATGAGATCCAGTTCCATTTTAGCTATTTCTATAAGCTCTTATGGGGAGCTTATTGAAATAAGCTTCAAACAACATTTGGGCATCTGAAAAGCCTTTTGAAACACACACGATTGTCACTGCCTTAAGCTACACCTAAATAAACTGTAAAGACGCTCTTCCAGATGCACCCGTAGTTGAAAGGAGTGGGGATTTTTACCAATTACTAGCTATTACCAACTTGACTTATGGCGTGTAGTTTATTGTTTAACACCATTTTTTATTGTTCTTTTTCCCTTTGAAAAGCGGATGCATTTATATATTTATTTATTTATTTGTTTCTGTTGTGTTCATTATTGAAGTTGTTGGATCACTTTTTCTAATCGAAGTTGATTATTGATCTAATAACGATAATGGTACAGGTGGCCCAGGCAGTGGAAAGGGTACCCAATGTGCAAACCTTGTTGAACATTTTGGGTTTACTCATCTCAGTGCTGGTGATCTTCTGCGTGCCGAAATCAAATCTGGCTCTGAAAATGGGTACAAATTATATGCTCCATAGTAATAGATTCATAGTCCTGTTTTGTTGACTCCTATTAGTCCTTTTTACTCCATTAGAAATAGTAAATGGCTAGTTTAATAGGTGGTGATATATATAATTTCACTGACTGTCATTTGGAAAGAAACAAAATACCCATAAATCCCATGAGAAATAGGGTAGCACAAAGAGTGAAATTATATATTTTTTGTCTTGAAATGTAACTCAAAATTGTGGCATTGTGATTCAAAATCTGAAGTAGTTTCTAATTGTACTATTATATATGCGTGTGTGTGTGTGTGTTCTCTTGTAAATGTTCGATATTTTCATAAATCCAAGGATCAATCTTTTGTAATTTTTTTGTAAATAAAAGCTTGTGTTGGGCAATATGAAAGATATATTAGGCCATGATGGTAATCTTGTATTACAAATGTTTTAGGAGGGACGGTAGGGTAGGGATCAAATGTTTTAGGAGGAGATCAGGATTTCTACCTTGTGGACACTAAACTATGAACACTTTCTAGTAAATATATTTCAAACATTATGATTTTGTTTTTCACATGGAAGAGGTAATTTATTTTTTTATCACTTCATAATGAGATCTTAGTGAATGAGCCCATAGCCAATGATGGAAATTCTTACACGCACACTGGTTAAAGATAGAGCCTACAAAGAGTCTATATAGAGTGTCACCCCTCACTTTACAAGCCAGTTTTGTAAAGTTGAGTTAAGTTTAATCAAAATTCTATGATGGTATCAGAGTCTATCCTAGATATGCGTTGGCCTTTTTGCTTCCTGCATCGTCCATGCTTCGGGCTCAATGAGGCTCAAAAGTGAGGGTGTGTGTTGGAAATTTGCGGTCAATGAGGCTCAAAAGTGAGGGTGTGTGTTGGAAATTTGCTGTCAGCCCCTAGCCCGCTTAAATTGCAGCATTTCGTTTGTCTT